GGGACTTTTCTAAACTGCTTGATTTAATATGATTTTTTTTGTTTTGCAGCCATCAAGCCAGTCTGCAGGTAGAATCCTTGCAAGAGCAGTTGAACTTGGTTTCTAAGCAGAGAGATGAAACTATGCTTCAGCTTACCATCTCACAGGACCAAGTGAAACAGTATGCAATGTCATTGGCCAACCTGCAGATGGTACTAGAGCAATTTCAACAGGGTAAGTTGCATCATAACATTTAAGAAAAAAAACTATAACATATTTTTAGTTAGTATGATTCTTACAGATTGGTGAATTTTAAAAGCTGGTGGTCACTAATACACTTTCAGATAAGGTTTCACCTATGCAATATTTGGAGTGAAATTCTCACCTCTTTAAAATCAGTAACTCCATAATTTAACCCTGGGTTGCTGAAATCTGGATGCAATAACATTATGACTTCACTTCTCTAGACTGCCAAATCCAGAGGATTAGAATGGGTAAACTAATCTCATATATCATTTTTTTTTTTCCCTTCAGAAGAGAAAGCTATGTATGCAGCAGAGCTAGACAAACACCAAAAACAAAACACAGAATGGAAAAGGAAAGCTGAAAGGCTAGAGGAGAAAGTTGAATCATTACAGGTAAGCTGAATTAAATTCTCTGAAGTTTTTTTGTATTAATCCCAATTTATCAGATTTAAAATACAGTATATGTTAAGTGTTATCGCTTGGGAATGTTTCAAAGTCTTCATTAAAAGCTTTTATCTTATGGAAGTGCAGAGAAAGGGAGAATAAACTAGTCAAGTAGACTTGCTGTGTAGATCACTGTTTTTCTTGGATATCTGCAGTTCAGGTATTTAAAATGTGAGTAATTAAAATATTTTGAATCTGTTCTATCTTGTTTGTGAACATACTGAATTATTGTCACAGTGACCTTCCTTGCATGTTTTTTCTTCCTGCTTTACAGGAAAGCTTAGAGGAAGCAAATGCTGCCCTGGATGCAGCCTCACGACTGACTGAGCAGCTAGATCTGAAAGAGGAGCAAATTGAGGAGCTTAAAAAAGAAGGTAACAAATTGATTTTTCCCTGAAGTCTTGCAAGAAATTGAGAAAGCAGTGGAAAGTTTACAGAAGGAATAAACTACCAGATTTTCTCTTATAAAAGAGCAAATTCTGTGTAATCTGTGACAAGGTTGAATTTTTCAATGTGGAAAAATTAAAGTTTATAGACTAGAGGTCCTGAATTGCAGGTCTCTTATCAGGAGATAAGATATTATATTTATTTTTTCCAACAGTGCTAGTCCTTAGTTAAATAAGCTCTTTAAAAACATGCTTGTGAAGTGCTCAGATAAGTGATTGAGACTCATCTAAAGATAAATAGTTGTTGTATGTTGCTATGCACACAAGCATGACTTTTCCTGAAACTTGGGGTTCTTTTTCTTTAACATTCATTTTTTTCTATTGTATGTACTACTTTGTCCTCTGTGTTTCTATCCTGCTTTAAAAATCATCTTTCATTGTAAATTTTATCCTAAACACTTAATAGAAAATAAATGGTTAAAGTAATAGCAGGAAGGGAGTAGTATAATTGGGAGGGAGATATTTAAATCTTCAGTTGGGAGGATGATGGGGTAAGGGGGAGTGGAAGAAGGGGAGGAGAGAGGAGATGGTCTGGATGGCTGCTAGCATCAGCAGCAGATGAGTTTGGCTGAAGGGGCATAGAGAAGACTAATAATAGACCAAGTTAAGAGCAGGAATAAATGTGTGAGGTGTTTTGGCAACAATAAGTCTTTGGGGGCATTTTAACAATTTTGGAGCAGTGAGGGAAAAAATTAATTTCTTTTAATACTTCCAGTTGGATTCTTTGATCTTTGTGGTAGTTAAAGGGGCAAATCACCCTCCTGCAGCTAATTCCCATTATGTTAGTAGCAGTTATATGTGTGCATTCTTTAATTAACTAAAGAGCTGCTAGCTATATTATTTTAGATCTGATTTCACCTATTTTAAATGGTAAGATTCCTGATGGCTCTGATTTTTTTTAGAAAGATGCTTTGCATTTTATTCTTAGATGAAGTACTCTAAAAACTGATGAATGTTATTACACTGTACTTTATTTTTAAGACAAAACTTGGCCAGACAGTAAAGGAATTTGCCAAGAGAAATAGTTTTGAAAAAGATTTATGGTTTTGCTGTAGGACAGCACTTTAAACATGAATTGTATAAGGAAGTTTGTGTGGGCTTTTCTTTGATAGTAAGGTAGAGATTAATGATTCATTGACAGAGTTTTAACATTAAAACCATGTAAGGGAACCTAACAAGGCATGGTAACTGTTTAGTAAAAATTGACTCTATTTTCTCTTGACACTACCAACATATACTGTGCTGTTAATGATAATATAATTAGTCTAATATAATAGGAAAAAGTCACGGGCGATTTTTAAATAAAATGCATAGATCATTAAGGCCAGTCTGGGAGAATTAGTATTTTTGAACTACTACCCTGTAATTTATTTTCTTTTAATAGCTATATAATGAACTTTGGATATGCTGGGTCAGACCTCATTTCACATGTTAGGTATCTAAGTGCACTTGTACTCCACCTTGCTGGAATCTCTGAAAAAACAGTAATACAAGGGCTGAGTGAGTTCTGCTTCTCCCCTCCACTTGTGACTTAATCTTAAGGCTTGATGAAGAATTATTATAACAAGTTGATATTTTAGGAGTTTTCCAGGGGTTCAGACTTAAGTATCTGTGTGATACTTAAGTATCTAATACAGAGGTTTCAACCTTTTTTAAACAAGTGTACCCCTTCTGGTGGTGGCAGGGGTGGGGGACATACACGCAGCCTGTGCCACCCACCACCCTGTGCACCACTTTTCCATGGCCGGTTGCACGTGCAGCTCCACAGGCTGGTGACTGGCCGTGCACCTGGCCAATTTGCTTGTCGCCCATCAGCAGACCATGGAGCTGCATGTGTGACTGTCTGTGGGAAAGCAGTGCATGGAGGTGGTGCGGGATGGTGGATGGTGGTGGCAGCCACCGCATGCGAGTCCCTCCTGTGGCCACTGGCTGGGTGGTTCCTGTGCGGCCTACAGTGGGGCACCGCTGCCCTCGGGGCCCCTGCCCCCCACCACCGGGCCCTGCTTCTGGGAGGTGGCGGCACAGGGTGGTGGGTGGTGGCACTCTGTTCCTGCCCACCCACACGTACCTCCTAGGACCTTTCCAAATACCCCTAGGGTACCCCTGGTTGACATCTCTTGATCTAGTAGATGCAATAGGATCTGGCCCATTATTATTTTTTTATTGAACTAATTTTAATTGTCAGCTCAGAGGATTGATAGCACTACAAAAAGCCAGGCATAGTACCAATAAAGCACTGTACTAGCTGTACTGTACAGGTCTGGGCTGAAACAATGACAACTGTAGTTTTTCCTGCATTTATCATTTTCCTGTCTTGAACCAAGTCTGAAAGTGTACGTGTTGTCTAGATGTCTGTTGATTTAGTGATATGAGAGAGTACTGGTCACAAACAAGAAGCTTTTAAAACTTAGTTTTCAAGCATTAGACGATGTATGGTACTCGCTTTGACTAGGGGGGCACCGATAAAGAGTTTTTTGGCTGATACCAATGGCCGATTATTAACCAGCCATATTGGCCTATACTGATTCAGTAGCCGCTAGGTAGTCCAGCAGTGTCTGGCTGATTAACTCTGTGTGGGAGGGAAGGGGCATGGTGGGGCCTGAGTGAGGCCCCCACGGTGAGGGAAGGAGTAGGGGTGGGACAGGAGCAGGCAGTTACCTGGGTGGAGCATGGGATGGACCCATGGGTGGCTTGTCTGGGTGGTGGTGGGGGGGGCAGCTCCTGGCCTCTGTGTGCACCCCTAGGGGAGGCATGGGAGAAGTGCCTCCCAGATCTGTGCATGGGGCAAGGGCAGGCTGCCTGCTGTGGGCTCGGGGCCAGGGGCTACACTGGCCTCTTCCCAGTGGGGGGCTGGGCCAGGGCTGTGCTTGGGGTGAACGGTGGCAGCATTGTGAGGAGAGGTGTGGGGGGGGCTATGGTGAATTTTGGGGTGACTGTAGCCCACCCCCGCTGCTTCCACCTGCTCTGAGGGCAGCTCTGGCCCAGTCCCACCACTGGGAAGAGGCCAGTGCAGCCCCTGGCCCTGAGCCCATAGCAGGCAACCTGCCCTCACCCTGTGCACAAATCCGGGGGGCACAAGCCCCCCCCAATGCCTCCCCCTGGGTGCGTGCTGCAGCAGGAGCTGGAATGTAGCCCCGCAGCTTGGAGAGCAGTGTCTGGCCAGTAGGTCTGTGGGGGAGGGAAGGGGCTTGAGGGGGGCAGACCAAGGCCCCCACGGTGAGGGAGGGAGTGGGGCTGGGACTGGGGCTAGCACTGCCCAGCCAGGGTGGGACCTGCAGGTGGCTCGATCCCCTCTCCCACACCCCATGGACAAAATGCCCGCAGGTTCCACCCCAGCTGGGCAGCCCCAGCCCCACTCCTTCCCTCACCATGGGGGCCTTGGTTTCCCCCACGCCCCGTTCCCCCACAGACCTACTGGCCAGATGCTGCTCTCCAAGCTTCCGGACTACATTCCTGGTTGCGTGCATGCTGCGGCTGCACATGTCCACGTGGCATTTATTGGTGACATTATAAGCTACACTGGCCAAAAAAAGCTGATTGCAGATCATGTCAACTTTTCTTTTATTGGTGCCAATCCAATATGGACCAATATATCGGTGCACCTCTAGTCTTGTCTTTCTCCCTGCCTTGCTTCCATCTCTTCAGAGGCTGCAGTACAGTGGTTCTCAACCTTTTAAGAATCGGGCACCCTTGGATAGATGTGAGCTACCCCTTAGAAAAAGCCATCTCTTAGTTTTCATTCTTTTAGAATACACAAGTCATAGAGCAGTTTTTCTGTTGCAGATAAATCCAACTCGGGGGCATTTATACAGGTGATCCACAAACGGGCAGGGTCGCTTTGCTTTAATTAGAGCAGCTCCGAGAGCTGCTGTAACTAAAACATCTGGAGCGTCATGTGTATCAGCACCCCTGCACTGAAAAATGGTGACGGCGACACTAACTAAAACTCATTGAACGAGCTTTAGTTTAAAGCACCTTGTCACCTTTTTTTTTTTCTAGGAAGAAAAAGCTTAAGAACCCCGAGCTAGACGATCCCCATATTTAATTAGTCGCTGAAGAGAATGGGAGATGATGAGAGGGCAGAGGTTTGCTTGCCTTCTGTAGTTACCAGCAATCCTGCTGCTTGCTCATTCTCTTTGCCCTCAATGGGAGGAGGTCCATTTTGCTTTAGGGATTTGCTAGGGGAAGGAGCCTCAAGGCTCTTACCTATATAGTCCTGTGATACGTTGATGTAATTATTTCTTTGCATTTTAAAAATCCTCCTCCCCTCCTCTGCACTAGGTGGGAATCATTCTTTTCACTAGAAACAAACTTTTTTAAAACAAGCAGACACAAAATTTGGGGTCAGAGAGGGGGGGACTAAGTACAACGTAATTCAGCAACCCTCAGCTATTTCAGTTAAAATTCTTCAGCGAAGCTGTGGCTTTTGCTACTTGACTGAATGTTTGCTTGAATTCCAGTTGTGTGTTTGCAGCTTTTGGTCTCCCTTGAGCTAGGTCAGGGTGTTCCCTCAGTTCACAGACAATTTTTACAACCTTTTTAAATTAAATCTCAAGCTACTACGTGAATATGCAACCAATTACCTCTTGTTTTTGAGCAGAGCCATCTGTATAGCTTGATTTCAGTATACTCATTCCCAGTGAAACTTTCCAAGCACCAACGGCCAAAATCAGTTATGGTGTAAGTAGACGAACCTCCCCCAGATTGAGGGGGAAGCTGTACTCATGTCAGATGAATTTGATCCCATATCAGTTTATTGGAGGAGAGTGTTGGTAGGTTTAAACTTGGTAAGGTTGGATCTTAGTATATTTTTAAACTGCATTGTGATACAAGTAATTTAATTTAAAAACTTGAGACATAAAGGCAACTACATTTTAATTTCTTAGAATGTGATTATAACAAATTAAAGATGTATTTTGTTTGTAGAAATGGTACTCGGATTTCTACAATAATATTTACGCAAGAAAACATACAACGTCCCATTGAATATGGGCCAAATACATTCCCAGACACCAGTTTGTTGGCCAGGTTTTTGAAGGATTTCTTTATGGATTTTTTTGGCAGAAGCAATATTAATGGAAAAGTATAAGCTGTGTACCAGATGCAGTTTTCTAAATTGCCATAAATGGTTAACAAATTATTGGAGACTGCTGTAAATGTCTGGTTTACAGCAGTCCATGCTGATTTTTGGCTCAGGTCTCTTCTATTATTTGCCCTTTTCATAGTCTCAAAGTAAATGGTTGAAAACTTTTTCAACTCTGAAATTCTGTTTTAGAAGAAAATTAAAATATTTCTGAGATTTGTGTTTTATAATCAGATCAATTTTATTCACTTTTTCTAAATGAGTGTAGATGTGTAATAATCATTCAATTGATCCTTTCTAAGCATATAATAAAAACTAGCAAATTGCCCATCAAGAATGACCAGGGGAGGGCAAGTGGGGACAGGCCTGTATCCTCCATCCCCCTGCCACTTTGGGACCAGGCCCACTCCTCCCGTCCCTTCCCCACTGCTTCAGGGCTGGGCGTGGGCCTGCTCTTCCCTCCCTCCCCCACTGCTTTGGGGCCAGGCCCACTCCCCCCACCCCCCTTCAGGTCGGGGCTTCACCTCCGTACCCCATCCACTCTGTTGCCGCTGCTGTCCCCAGGGAACAGGGCTGGGGTGGGCACAAGACTGGTGCCACTGG